GACATTACGGAACAACCTAGCTCAGCATACATATATGCATGCATTAAGTTAGATAGATTATACAGATTTGCTTGTACAAAACTCTAGGGCATCAATGCTGCCTTCATAAATTTGATAATATGTACAAGCACCAGATAGCATGCTGCTAAAATAATTAGTACACACGGTACATATGCATGAACTGGAGAAAAACAATTTTGCACTAGAGCAGCCTATCAGGTGGGCCTATAATAGATATGATGGTTCTATAGAATTTAAAGAGGAAAAGACAGAAGAAAGGGAGAAAGAAAGAGAGAAAAAAACTAAAGTGAGAGAGTGTGTACTCATACTGCAAGCAAGCAAGATGCGTATTTCAAATGCATTTCTTTACAAGAGAACTGTAGAGGAACTGCACATCATATTGAGCTGAATGTGTATTTTGGATTCATTTTAGGAAAACAACAGAACGAACTAGATAGAAACTGAGGTACCTCGTATAATAAGAACATATAGTGTTGAAAATGTGCTTAGGCACGGTCGAAAAAAAAACATATAGTGTTGGGTCCTGTGATCAAGAATGTGTAGTTAGATCCCAAATTTGAACATTGTGCAGATTTTATCATGACTACTCTCAAATTCGTTCTATATATATTATCTCCTTGCGAAACTTCTAATAATTTTGTTGATAACTTCGCTTTGCTCCCGAGAAAGATGGTGGGCGGTGGGATGAGTCAGCGGGCGTCCTTGTACCAAAGGACAAGTACCGCTGCACCGGGGGAGAGTAGGAGGAGGAGCAGCTGCAGGAGGGAGCCGTCACCTGCCGCCCCGTCGCGTGAGGAGGAGGAGCAGGTGCCCTAGGAGGACGCCGAAGAGGCGTAGGAGGACGAGGAGGAGAAGGCGACAGCATGGGGTTCCGCTTCCTCTAGTTCATCGAGCGTCTACTTGCGAGGTCCCGCGAGCCTGCCTCAGCAACCGATACCTCGTGAGAGACGCCCGCTGATTCGACCCGAGGGGAAAAAGTAAGTAACTTTAGATGTTATCACTACTTTATATGATATGTTGAAAATCAAAATAGAAACTAATAATTTTTCTTAATCACTTGGGCAGGAACTGGACGATTGTGGCGGAGTGGAGGTGCTCACACACGCCAAGTCAATGGCATCCTCGGTCTTCTGTGCAAGGAGCACTTCACTGGCCTGATTGAGTACACCGGAGTGACAGGGCCGGCCTACTCGTTTGACCACTACGCCGCCGCCCCCGATGCTACAGATCAGGCCCACATGGTATTCAACAACAAAGCGGAGCGGGTGAAGCAAGAGCTATGGGTAAGTCTTCCTCGCACTACATTGCTCAATACATCGCATTCATTGGACATTCTTGAAATAATGAATAGATACATCGTGTTTATATGCAAGATTTCTTTAGATGCCAGGATGGATATGAGGCCAGGGCGGATGTGGTGGCTACCAAATGCTGCAAAAAACTCGTCGTGGACATGCATTACGAGGCGCGCATCCAGGCCATCGTAACTTACCACGGGACCGTCCTTGAAACAAAGGTCACCAAAAGGGACGCAAGGAGCATGACGCTGACCCGGGACCAGTACCTGCAGGTAAATACAGAACATTAATACTGATTCCTTTTGAGATTAAGTAGGCTTAATTTCATCTTCTGATATGTCATGTACTTGATGGCCTGTAGATGATTCCTTATTGGTGCGCCGCGCATCCCAGTGCTGGGAACAGATGGTGGACAAGTGGTGCTCACGCGAGTGGGAGGAGACGCACAACTTGTGCTAGGAGTGGTGTTTGATGATGCCAGGTGTAGCACACCATCAAGCCAGCCGCAGCCTAAGCGGATACGCAGAAACATAGGTACGCGAATTCATTTATTTATTCTAACGCTCAATTCTGTATGATTTCTAATCATCTTGCTGTTTTTCTCGCAGTCGGCGTCACATGGTGGCCAGCCTTGCTCCATCTTCAAGGCATTTGCTATGGCCCACAAGGGCAAGGCGACGTCTGACGTCGACTACAACCCGGAGGACGGGCCCGAGGCGTACAACAATGCGACCGTCCACAACTGCCTCAGTGAGTACACATCGATGGCAAGGAAGGTCCATGGGCCATAGTACGATCCGAGCACCGAGGACCTTGATGGAGAAGTCATCATGAGGGTGGGAGGAGGCAAGAAGCATGGGCGGTACTAGATTGGCGATGGCGTAATCGACTCAGCCGCTACTCCCAGTCTCTCCTAGATTCGAGCAAGCAACACTAGCAGGAGCACGGCCATACGACCTCGGCAGGACACTTCACACCACCGGGTGGAGGCACTCGAGGTTATTCCTAGTTTATTCGTCATTCGTTGGTTTTTTCATACATTTCCTTTGCATTATTGTAACATTGGGGTGAATGTATTGTAGGCCCAGCTGGAACAAGAGAGGAGGATACGGGAGCAAATGTAGACGAAGATGGAGAGGGTGGAGGCCGAGCGGGAGGCCGAGCAGCGTAGGATGGCGGAGATTCTTCAGTACATGCAAAGTCTTGGCGCCGCTACGGGTGTAGTTCCGCCACCTTCGCTATTCGCTCCACCTCCACCTCCACCTCCTCAGTATTCTACTCCTGTGAGTATAAATGTTTTAGTTTGTATGTTCATGCTTACGGTCAAACCTAGTGGAGTATGAAAGTTTTATTCATGTATGGTATATATTTATCTTGTCTCACACATGCAATCTCTTCTCCTTTTTGCAGAATCAATCGGCGGCATCGAACGATCCTCATGCTTCAACGAATTCTTCACCAAATCAGTGATGATATTTGTGGTTGTTAATGGTACTTCTATTTGTAATTGTGGTTGAAGATGATGGAGCACTTGGATTACTTGTGAGCTTATTTGTGATATATTGTGAGACATGTGATTTTTGTGATATATATGTGATGTTTGTGATATATATGTGGTGTTGGTGATATATATGTGTTGTTGATGATATATATGTGATGTTGGTGATGTTTGTTATATATATCTTCTGTTTGTTTGGATGGGATGTAAAAAACAAATAAAAAGGCTGTTTTCAATCACTTTGCCGAGTGCAATGGCCATGACACTCGGCAAAGTGACTACCTGGGAACATGCTTTGCCGAGTGCAAAGGCCATTGCACTCGACAAACATCACAGATTTGCCGAGTGCCACGGTCCAGGCACTCAGCAAACATCGCATGCTTTGCCGAGTGTCTTGCCGGCGACACTCAGCACAGTGCCACCTTTGCCGAGTGTCTAAGTCAATGGCGCTCGGCAAAGCGGGGACCTTTGCCGAGTGCTTGACCTTGACACTCGGCAAAGCCGCCGTCACGGTGGCGCTGGCCATCACGACCACTTTTCTTTGCTGAGTGTCGGATTGGCACTCGGCAAAGAGGTCTTTGCCGATAAACTGTTTACCGAGCGCCCTTTGCCTAACACTCGGCAAAGGCTTTGGCGAGTGTATATCGGCCTTTGCCGAGTGCCTGAGGCACTCGGCAAAGAAGCCGCCTCCGGTAGTGAGTATCATAAGACTTGACCTCAAAGTGACCTTCATCCTATCACTGTCATGTTTGTACTGGTAGTGATGGCAAGACCATCACTGTTGTTCCGTTGCTAGGTCCGATTCCAACAGTGATGCCGTGTTTGGAACCGACAATGATCCATGACCCTGAAGTAGTTATATTTGTGTCTTACAATCTTATGCCAAATGCCAGCTGCATTTTCCAATCTCCACTACCAATCGCAAAGCATGCCATTATCCATCTTTGTCATTAATACCAGCCCTCCTTTTTTTGTTCTTTGGTTTTATCAATTATACCACATCACTAGATGTTACTACCTTTTCATTTTACCTCCTCGCCAAAAGAAAGTACACTTTTCTGGTTTTGTCAAGCCTGTTGATGACGGTTTTTACTCTAATAAGTAAATAAAGATTGCATATGTAGACATAAAGGTAAGTCTAGAATCAATATACTCTTATAAAATGTTCATACAAAAAAAAATACTCTTATAAAAGAAGACCCTACTGACATGCAGTTATTTGATAGTTAGCTCTTCATAGAAACTATCTACATCAGCAATTATCATTATCAAAAGTGTTGCTGAGAGTTGCCTAAAAAAGAAGTGATTTTTATCTGGCTAGGTAAGTCTGCAGGAGTTTTGTTTGGTTATTAGAGGCATGTGGCTAAAAAAAAGAAGGCTGAGTATGATTATAACTATTTTTTACTTCCATAGATTGACTCACAAAACTAAATGATTATGTTAGTAATTTAATAAAAGTAAGAAATATTTACTCATATTAAATTGAATAATTATATTTTGCATACTAATTTTGTGTGAGAAAATATACACGGTATCAATACAGCATTTTAATACACACGATTAGTATACCACTTTGACTCACTAAACATATGTATATATAGATCACCTTATCTTTTTTTAGTTAGTAAGATTGAAAAACATTTCTATATAACTAAATGATATTTAACGTAAAAGTATTTACATAATTTGGTGAAAAGTACAAGTACCATTAATATTCTTATGAACTCCTCTTTTTTTTCTTGTATCTTAACTGGTCACGGATACTTGATAGAGAATACTAGAATAGGTAATTTTTTTCTTGTATCTTTTCCCAAATACGTATACAGTACACTCAGGCTACAGACGAGAGGTACTCCTATTTTTTTTCTCTCATCGGTTCAATCCAATCCCTACTTTGACTCATGCTATATTTCAGGAAAGTCTCACCCCAAACAATAACCTCGGCCTACATTTGGGGAAATACTTACGGTTAAAGAGACGAGGTCTCTTCAATTTTCTACACAATTATGGTTGAAGAAACAAAGAGCCTTCAATTTCCTACACCAGTCTTGTAATAAAGGAAAAATGAGTAAATGACGATGGATTTACTATAGAAAATTCAAGATATATAAAACCCTTCTTCTCCCCATCATAACCACCACTTAACTATCGGAGCGCAGCAGCTGCCAAACCCGGCCGACGCAATGGTGGTGTCGCCGGTGGAGCCAGTGACCACGCGGGTCAGTGTGGGCGGTTTTGACTCCCGCTTCACCTCGCCGCGCGAACTCGCCGACTACTTGGAGTCCGTGGCTGGTCGGATCTGGCGCTGCCGGGTCAAGACCTCCTGCACGCCGCCCAACTCCTACCCTGACTTCCAGTGCCTCCCACAACTCCCCGCGGCCAACGCGCTCCCGCCGCCGCCGCCGCATTCGTCCAGGGCGCGGCGACGCCGAGCCCCAGACGGTGAAGACGGCGCGTTCGCGTTCCAGGCCGCGCCGCCGCACGCCTTCGTACACTTCGTGCACCCGGAGGCCGCGCGCCGCGCCGCCAGGTCCGGGCTCCTCGTGCGCGGCCCCTCCGCGTCCGCCCAGAACAAGAGCAGCGCCCTCCGCGACCGCGCGCCGCGCCGCCAGAGCGCCAAGCCGTTCCGCTTCACGGACGCGCGCGTCGAGGTCGGCAACCTCTGGGCGCCGGACGCCTTCGTCGTCTCCTGGCGCTGCCCGGAGGACTCCGCTGGCTCCAGCTCCAGCTCCAGCTCCGGCCTCGACTTTGTCGTCGACCCGTTAGACGGCAGCTGCCGGCTGGTGTTTTCCCGTGACACCGCGTTCGCGTTCCCTGCCTCCCGCGGCGCCGCGGTGGTGCTGCGCTGCGACTTCAAGGTTGAGTTTTCCGTCGACGACATCGCCGAGCTCCTGGTGTTCCCGACCGATGACTCGCTGCTGCTCCGGCTCTCGGCCGCGCCCCTGCTGTACTACCGCACGGCGGCCGATGGCGTCCACCAATCGGTGCCTTTTGACCTGCTCGACGATGACGACGACGACCCATGGATACGGACCACCGACATCACCGCCAGCGGGGCCATTGGCCGGTGCTGGATGTACAGGATCTCGTTCAAGACGTGGTTCTGGCCAAAGATGAAGAATGCACTGGCGTACATGAAGGAGAAGAGGGTGCCGACTGTGGTCTGCGACATTGGGTGGCCGGGGTTCAGGGTGCACGACGAGCCGGAGTTTGGGAAGCCAATGCAGGACCTTTTCTTGTGCGTGCAGCATGTCGAGGAGCTCCAGTTTCCAGTCTTGTTCTTGGTTAATGTGCTGGTGCACAAGGGGATAGTGAACGAGCACCAGCTCACGTCCAAATTCTTCTCTTTGCTCAAGAGAGAAGAGGAGCATGTGAATCTGGCCGCGCTGACGGAGCTGTTAGGAGAAAATTCTCAGGTGTTTGATGTATGCTGGAGGCTGAAAAATGTGCAGGATCGGGTTGCCAAAAATCCCAAACTAATTCATCCTCGCAGCAGGGGCAAGGTTGCTGGTGATTATAATGCTGTGGTGCGGAGGCTGGTGATCACTCCCACCAGGGCATATTGTATGCCTCCACAAGTGGAGCGCTCTAACCGCGTCATTCGGCACTATCATCATGTGGCGGATCGGTTCTTGAGGGTAACTTTTATGGATGAAGGTATGCAGCTGCTAAATATCAATGCACTCAACTTCCATGCCGCACCGATTGTCCAGAGCTTGATGTCAAAATCGTTCCAGCACAAGACAACAATTTATAGGCGTGTGCACACACTTATGACAAAGGGTTTCCACTTGTGTGGTAGGAAGTACTCTTTCCTTGCATTCTCATCGAACCAGATGAAGGATAGATCAGCTTGGTTCTTCGCAGAGAACAGAACAACAACTGCTGCAACCATTAGGGAGTGGATGGGACAGTTCCCAAGTAGGAATGTCGCGAAGCGTGCTGCTCGGATGGGGCTGTGCTTCACATCTTCATATGCAACGGTTGTGACACGGCCGAATGAGGTTAATGAGCTTCTTGAGGATATCGAGCGCAATGGATACAATTTCTCTGATGGGATTGGCAAGATCACACCGGACCTTGCAATCGAAGTTGCGGCGAGGTTGCCACTGACAGATAGGTACCCTCCATCTGCGTACCAGATTCGATATGCAGGATTCAAGGGTGTTATAGCTGTATGGCCAGGACAAAATGATGGGATACGGCTTTCCCTTAGGCCAAGCATGAGGAAATTTGAGTCTACCCACTCTGTGATAGAAGTAGTATCCTGGACAAAATTCCAACCCGCATTCTTGAACCGTCAGATTATAATATTGCTGATCTCCTTGGGTGTCCCAGAAGCTATATTTTGGGAAATGCAGGAGGAGATGCTTAAGAATCTCGACAGAATTTTGTCAGACAGAGAGATTGCTTACCAGGTTGTAACAAACAGTTGCCCTGATAATGGAACCATGGCAAGACTGATGCTGAGTGCTGGATTTAGTCCTGCAACCGAGCCACACCTGAAGGCAATGCTTTTGGCTATAAAGTCCTCACAGCTGAAGGGTCTTTTGAAGAAAACAAAGATTTTTGTGCCCAAGGGAAGGTGGCTGATGGGCTGCCTGGATGAACTTGGAATCCTTGAGCAGGGGCAATGTTTTATCCAGGCTTCATCTCTATCAATCAACAACCATTTAATAAAGCATGGCTCAAGATTTTCCTCAGCAAACAAGAATGCAGTGACAATTGTAGGTACAGTTGTGGTTGCAAATAACCCATGCCTTCATCCAGGGGATGTACGTGTTCTTGAAGCAGTTGATGTGCCTGAACTGCATCACCTTGTTGATTGCTTGGTCTTCCCAAAGAAAGGTGAGAGGCCACACGCCAATGAAGCTTCCGGGAGTGATCTTGATGGGGATGTCTACTTTGTGACATGGGATAAAAATCTTGTACCTCCGGGGAAAAGGAGCTGGAAGCCTATGGACTACTCTCCTGCTGAAGCAAGACAGCTACAACGAAGAGTACTTCAGCATGTAAGTTCAACTACTCTCTGCACGTGCACACGATTCTTTCATAAAATGTTTGTTCAGTTAGATGTCTTCACTGTCAATTCTATTTTTCTTTTATTTGTTCATGGGTTTTCTGTAGTACTTTGTTTTATGTCTCTGATTGCTGAAAACATTTATCTTGCAATGCCTTAGGAATGTATTGAGAATGTAAGTTCAATTATTTCTTGTCATTGAGAATGTATTGGGTACACATCTCTGGTTGCGAATAACAATTGATGTTCCTCGTTTAAAAAGTGAAGTGCATTAATTTAGACAAATACATGTGCATCCATGTCCATTTGACAATTTAATCCTTCACAGTAGCATTTTCATAGACAAAACTAAAATATTTTGGTAGCACACAAAAATAGCAGTACTGAAAAGTAGCAGTCAGCAAACCTGATTTGTTGAGCTGGTCTTCAGTTCAGTCTGGTTTGGTTACTGGAGTCAAAGTACAATTATTGATTGTTATTTTTTTTGACCGAAGATTATTGATTGTTATTATAGTTTTGGTTTAGAAAATCCCTGGTACAGTTCAGCTAAATCCCTTTTTTTTTGTAAAACTGAAAGTTGACTGCTTTGGATTGTTAGTTTTTTTTTTTAACGATTTGGACTGTTAGTTTAGGGATGTATACTAGCCGACTTACCAGATATAACAAATTTCAAGCCCATTATCAAGCATCTCTTTCACTTTGATTTTTAAAGTTCAATTAGTGAATCATTATCCAGTTGATCAGACGCATATTAACTAACAATAGTAAAAACTATGACTTTCACCTTTATACCATCTAGTCTAGTTACTAAAAACTGCTTCTTCCTTGATTTGTGCACAAATATTTATTTAAAAGATGTTGCTCTTGTCACAGGATCTCATTGATTTCTTCTTGAAGAACATGGCAAGTGAGAACATTGGTCGGATAAGCAATGCTCATATTGTCCATGCTGACATTAGCGAGTACGGAGCAATGGATGAGAAGTGTATTCAGCTAGCTGAACTAGCAGCCACTGCCGTGGACTTTCCCAAGACTGGCGAAATTGTTAGAATGCCGCCATCCCTTCGGCCAACAAAATACCCTGACTTCATGGAAAAGGATGATGCTATCTCCTATAAATCAGAAAAGATCATTGGAAAGCTTTACCAGACGGTTAGATATTATATCCTTGGAATGCCCTTGGAAGGTTTGATAAAAAATGGCATGCCAGCTTACGATATCGACCTGGAAGTTCCTGGTGCATCGCATTTCTTCATAGATGCCTGGCAATGGAAATGTGTATACGAATCGCGGCTGAATGCGCTGCTCAATCAGTACAGCGGGTGCACTGAAGCAGAGCTTGTGACGGGGGTGATCTGGTCGCTTGCCGATGGAAGGAAAAGGAAGAAGCATGAGGCACACGAGAGGTTCAGCCATGCATATCCTGAACTCCACCAGGAGTTCCGACGTGTCTTTGAAAATATTGCAGCAGATCAAGATAGGATGTCTGATGAAAAGAAAAATCTGGTGTATGAGATGAAGGCCTCCGCGTGGTACCAGGTAACATATCACCCAGAATGGATCAGATTCTCAAGGGAAAAGGAGCTGCATGGTGAGGAAAGGCCAGCAAGACTCAGCTTCCCCTGGATCGCCATAGATTACTTGGCGTGTATAAAGATGAGGCGCCGTGGACAAGCGAAGCATTTTACTTGAAGTGCGCTTCATTGTTGAAGCAAGACCACTCTGCCACTTCGCTGTCCCATTCATCCCAGGAACTCTTTTACGATTATAGATAGTAGCTCACCTTAATAGACTTCTCTACTATTATTCTAAATTAGCTCCAATTATAAGCCCTGTTCTCTCATTCCTGTACCTGCATTATATTCATCCAGTACAACTGCTTTGTGGCTGAATGATTGAGCTGAATGAATCTAATGCTAACAGTTAATATGAATTCCAGCTATCTACTTAATGTCTACGTATGCAGATAATGTTCTCATAATCCTGTTATCGAAAACTTCAGAAACTTGTGCCGTAGACATGCTCAGGCACCCTTTGTCGACCAGATATTGTTGGGAATTTTGGCAATTTCATATTAAAATTAATCCAGAAAAATATTAACAAATTTGTGATGATAAATATGAGCACGTGTGTGATTTTACTACTACTCAAATTAGCAACAAATATGTTGATGGACATCATACTGATTATGGCGGAAAAGAGATTGAACTTAACCAATTTGAGAATAGAGATGTACCCTGCGAGGGACCCATGCTCAAAGCATCGGTAGCTCCAGACCCACTCATGGTGAGTTGCTCGAAGTCACGGATCACAGTCGTTGTAGGAAGATGTACACAGTGTCGTCCCTCGAACGTCCATCGGGAAGTAGACGGCCGATCCGAGGAAGAAACCAGGAAGGAGACGAAAACGTTCCGATGAAGACGAAAACGGCGAGCAGTCGCGGAGATGCCCCCAAAAACCTGATCGCCCGCACATACCCGAGCAGGTGTCCCGATGCGAACGGCGGTTTCGGAGGCCTGCTCTTCCAAAGCTCCGTGCGCGCAGAGAATGGGACGGGGAGTACTCGAGTACAACTCGACTGGAGGATGGATTCGTATGGCGCGCGAGGTAACAGGGAGATGATAATGCTGGAGAGATCAGGGAGATGATGAGTCGAAGTGATTACGAGTAATCACCACCGTAGTGGATGATAAGTGACTCGTAAGTAACTCCTCCACATTAGCGCTTGTACCCCTTCCTCTTCCTTAGTCAGTCCAAGTGGCAAAACCAACCCACACCTGTGCTCGTGCACGACATGACACGTCACGACGCACACATCGCATCGCATCGCTCGCCACGCCACGCCACGCCGGCGGCGGCGGCACGTGCGCGCGTGTGGCACGCCTTTGGCCTCTTTCAACTTCTCTATAGGTGCACAAGTGTGTAGCCTATTTAAGCTGAGTCAACAATCAGTCAAAATCCCATACGAGACAAACTATATTGTACCACAACATTTAATATGGGCCTAGAATTAATTGTTTTATTAAATAAAATATGGGCCTAAACCCATATAATATTCAACAATCCCCACCAAATTCTAGGGCACATAAGAAATGCTCTCAGTTTCCTCTGTTGTTTGATATACCAGTGTTTCGATGGAGATTGTTAAGTTGAACTTCCACCTAGAGCAAAGGTTACGCTTAGTCACAACTATACAATGGACTATGCTTTGAATTGACAGTTTTGTGCGAAATAAGTTTCACTTAGGCCCTTTACTGATACTAGGTTACAAAAAGCATCCCTCTAGTTGGAACATATAAGTCATACTCCTGGCCCATTCATGTGTACCTCGAGATCACCCAAATCTCACTATGACTAGTAATCGAACTCACATAGGTGTGTTTCTCAAAAGATGTTCTATAGGACAACATCTTTGCTTCAACAAGCCACTTTGAAACGCATTAATGTATAAAACAAACTTGCCTTACAGAAAAGGAAAGAATTGCATCTGTCATGGGTTTAATTAAGGGTCTTTCCTCATAGCCTATCCCTGGCTTGTTTCACCATTCTACTTCACGGGATCTCCGATCACATAGAACATGTTACCACCATGATAGACTTCATATGGGTCTCAAGCCCATTTCACTCGATGCATTATCTATCACATTACATGACGGCTCTTTAGTGAATTAATCTGTCAGATTTTTAGACGTGTGGACATAGTCTAACGCTATCACTCTGAAGTTTCTCAATTTTCTGACAGATTTTAATCTCCGCTTAACATGCCTTATGGACTTCATGTTGTCCTTAGAACTGTTTACCTTAGTTATCACAGTTTGGTTGTCACAGTTCATAGAAATAGCCGGTATAGGTTTCTCTACAACCAGTAAATCCATAAGGAGTTCACGAAGCCACTTTGTAACACCCTGGTGTTACGAGCTTGCTTAGCACCGAGATTTAGGTCCGAGAAGGATTAGCCTAACAAGTTTTCGGGTTTTAAAATTTATAACGCACGTGAGGCAAAAAACAATTTCTATGAACAAGGATCAAACATAACTTGTATTAAATACTTCAATAAAAATTGAAGTACAAGTTTAATAGATGGAAATGCAACTTTAACTTTTGGAAAATGGATGTTGTTAACTAGTGTTTTGGGAGCTCAAAAATCAAATTTGACGTTAAGATAAGCTCTTTTCGTTAAGTCGGCAAACACTTGAACTATTGTGTAAAATACTATTTTTGGTGAATTATATTGAGCAAAATAGTTAAATAGTGTTTAAATATTTTGCTCATATGGGTTAGTATAAGGTATGGACTATTGCATGAAATACTTGTTGGTAGCAGTTAATAGGGTTTATGCCTTTTAAAAATTGTAACAAAAGTGTTAATGGCTGTTAGTTTGAATTGAACCCTAACTTTTCTAAGTATGGGAAAAGTAGTAAGACAATGCTATCTTGATATTTAAATTATAGCTAAAATGTTTAAACACTAGCTGTATGTTTTGGTATTGTTGATTGCATCAAAGTGAGTACTTTAGCATGGTGAAGTCCACAGATGAGTTGGAGTTGTCGCGGCGTCGCAAAAATTGCCCTAACTTTGTTAAAACGCGCTGTCAATCTTGTTTCGAGCTTCGGTTGGCAACTGGTGTTCTGTGCGACGAACTCTTGTTGGCACCTCTCTATCTCCCTCGATGCTCACTCCATGGCCATGCTCGTTACTCGGATGAGAAGCACTTAGTGGCTACTAGAATATTGAACTCTTGCTTTAATCTCAACTGGGCTCTAAGCGGTTGGTTTTGACGCTTTAAAATTCATGCTTCGCCGCATCCGGTGTCGCGCCATCGCGGGCTACCTGCACGCTGCCGATCGTGGCGCTGTCCAAGCGCACCTGCAGGGCTGCGCCTTGTCCTCTTGTAGTTTTGGTTACTACAATGCTCGCCCTCAGCCGCACAACCCACCTACCAAGCCCGAGCTCGATGTCGTACGTAGTTTATTGCATAGCAACGCCGTGCTGCTGCATGCGTGTGGCCGCACGTGGGCACACCTTTAATGGCTCCGTCCAAGCGTTAACCGATGCGCCACCTGTCCTTCGCTCGAGCGATCATATCCTCACGCTGCCGTGCCTCGTCGGGTCATGGCAGGGCCATCTCTGCCGGGGCCACTTCCCGCGATGTGGCGGTGGTAGTGCACCGCTCTCCCTCTCCCTTTCTTAATCACCAGCTTGAGGCTTCCCAGTCTAATTCCTCGCACCAGTGGGTAGCTTAGCAAGTTAGTTAGGTATCGCATTCTCATCGAGCTCAGCCGTGGTCTGTCAATGGTCAATTTTGGTTTCTCCTCGCCGCCGGTCATGTGCGTCGCCGTGAGTAGAGGGTTGGGGGTAAGGCCTATAGGAGTGGTAACAGTTCAATTGCTCGTAACCCTAAGTTCACCTTGACTCTCTCCATCTGATGCTCGCGTTATTTTGGCCAGGGTGCTCGTCATCGGTGGGGTGACGCGTGCGGTGTCCATCGTGAGCGCCGCCGCCTCACTCGATTGCACGTGGCTAGACCATCGCAGCTCTCCCCTTCTTCAACCGTCAGTAGGGCGTACACCACGGTGAGCCACTCATACTTATCCGCCACTTCTGCTCTACCGAGCGTACATAGGCTCGCCGGAACAGTCGTACCGCCGCCGCGGATAGCCGCTCGCCGCTGCAGCCCGTGATAGTGCACCTCCGAGTCCCTAACCGCCACCCATCCTTGCGTGTTTAGATGTAGATGGTGGTCGGTCCCTTAATGCCGCCGTAGCGAGCCTAGTTTGCTCGGCGTAACCGCCTTGTGCCATCGGCCGTCGGCCGTCGCTCCGGCGCGAGCGCGGGGATCCCAGGGACCTCCCCATGGTAAAGGCGAAAACATCTGAGGGTTTGGTTGTAAAGTTACTGATGGTAGGAATAGTGCGCATAGTAGTCGTATTAATCTTTGAAAGCTCAGGGGCCTTTCTGCAAAACGGCCAACACGCGCGGGCGCCCCCCGCCTTAGGCCGTACTGGGTTGCCGGGCCTAAAAGGGTCGCTGCCGCCCATTTCCTTTTCTAATGCCTTTTTTCTAATTTAGTTTCTAAGGTGAACTTGTAAATTTAATATAAAATTGTGTAGTTGACCGAAAATTGTGAAACCAATTTTGTTAGATTCCTAAAATCATGATCTATCTGCTAGTATATTTTGTTCACATAGTTTTATAATATTTTCAGAAGTGATCTAATTGATTTGAGGTGCTTAATATTGTTAAGATATAAACTTGCAGGAGTTTTTATGATAAATTAGTGATAGTGTTGGCTCTAAAATTTTCATAGTAAATTCCTAACATTATTAGGTGATCACGGTAATTTTTGTAGCTCCATCGTAATTAGTTTGCTAAGGTAGCTAAATGAGCCCTAGTTTAAAAATATATGTTTAATCAATAAAATGTCGAAACACCTTGGGGTTTTAGAATTAAAACATTTTTTCGGAGACAAAGCCTTACTTGATGTCTTGGATACGTAGACTAGTACGTTAGTCATTAAAGCTAGCTCGTTAGCTTGCAGAGCGTAATCGTATTTTAGAGTTGTAGTTACCATTGATTAATTGCGTCTCTGCGTTGCATCCGCGTATATCATAACAGGAACAACGATGGACCGTGGAGATGACCGAAGTAGCGGAAAAGATGTTGCCTTGATGATCGTGTCACCATGAGAGAAT